CTGCTGTCAGTTATCTGACTGTAAAACTCAGCAGTGGGAGCAGCTCAGAGAGGAATCAGCCCTCAGCAGCTCGCTGTCAGAACCTGAAAACCCTCTGATTTATGAGCAAGGTGATATAACATGAGGCGGCAGTGGGGTGGGGGGTGGGGGGGTGATGATCAATGAAACAGTAAATGTCAGATTCCTCTGTTACTGCTGAGAGTTCACCATACGGCCAACATCAGCCAATCACTGTTCAGCATAAGATCACTCCTAATGATCCCCTCTGGACTCCTGATCAGCTACAGAACCAGTTATTATTTTACTGTCAGTTTGGATTCTTCATGTTCTCTTTTATTGTTCAGCTGGCAGCATATTGCTCCTTTCTACCTTTTTCTTGAGATAACGAGCGCCTTACACAGTCAGCTCTCAGATTGTTGTAGGTCAAATTAAAATGAATAATGTCCTCCAGCTCTGCAGGTTTCATATCCAGTCGCTCTGGGTCAGCACCTCTATGATTCTGATCTGAACTCATCAGATAGGATGTGGTCTCTGGGGTCCCTGTGTGATTAACAGTAGATTAACAGCGACGTATTGAGAACCTCCGCTGGGTCTCCCAGCAGGTGAACGAGGCTCTGAACAAGAGAAAGTTATAGTGCAGTGAATTAGAGCACATAGCTCAAACATCAGGTTGGACCACATTCAGGCTGTTTACTGGATGAATGAGTGACATAATCAATCAATCAATCAATCAATCAATCAATCTCTCAGAGCTGCGGGAAGTCTCAGTATTGCTTTAGATTTCGGAGGGAAAGTGAACTCATTGTTAGAGTTGATTGGCAGATGGTTTATACAGCTTAAGCTTCATTCAGAGCTGAGGTGTGGTCACAGTTTGGAGGTTGAAAAGTTACCAGAAACCAGCGGAGACAAACGAGCTGCAAAACCTGATGAGTAATGCAACCTGATTCTGCTGAGCCCTTGAACAAGAGAGTGTCGGTGTTTACAGTGGAGGCACAGGAGCTTTAGCAGTCGTTAGATAAAGCTTATAGTCGACTGATTGTCACACGTTTCTGATATTACTGTATTAGTTATAACCTCCGGTTCTGTGGCTCATTCGGGCCCCGCCCCCCGGCAGTATTCCCTGCTGGGTCCCCCTGCTGCTACACTAGCAGTGTTTAAACTCCCCCTGTGAACATCACCGAAACCTTTCTATAAATCAATTTAAACCCGGAGCAGAGTTAGCCAGCAGCGTCTACCTGCAGGTATAAAAGTCCATATATAAATAATAAAACGGGAATACCTGCACTCTTACGTGTAGAGACACATAAACTCACATTTCACTCCCATCATTCAGGGATCAGTGCTGCGCTGGCTGCAGGGTGGAGGCTGGTACATGTGAAAGCAGATCGCTGCCCATCAATCAGATCTTTTCATCCCTCAGATCAGAAGTCACAGTGCTGCCAGTGAACAGATTAAGGCTCACACACACACAGCGGTTGTTTATTAAACCTGAACACGCATACTGTAACTGCAGGCGAGAGTGGCCCGAATCGGATCCTTTACTCAGTGTGAACGGCACAGATCACTCTGACTCTGAGCTTTTTATTCTGCTGATTTTCTGCAGTTTTGTGTCCATGAGTTGAGTGAAAACTCAATGTCTGGCTGAACTTTTATGGTTTCAAGCTTGTTTTAAAATGAGGACTGTAATATCTTAGATATGCACTAATTGCAGGGTATGTGATATCACGCTACCACATTAGCCCTGAAGCTACATCAGCCTTGTTCTGCAGCGTATGGAAACGTTGAGTGTAAACTTCTTCAAATCCAATACAGTCACAGAAGCACAAACTGTTAAACTCTGGTAGCATCCAGAATCTACACTGTAAAAAATATCTGCAAGTTTACAGAGTTTTCCAGATTTATTTTCCAGATTTTTTCTAGCCTGTGAATGTCCAATGTAAAATAATGTAAAAAAATCATTTTTATTAAGTTACTAAGTTACTGTCCATGTGAACTTTAAAAAAACTATTGTTTCATATACTGCTGCATGAAAAATCTGTAAATATATGTTTAAAAAACTGAAGAAGAGCAGATTTTGCTTCAATACTGGCTCATAGATGGGTGAGAAAACAATAGAATTATGCAATGTGAGTCCTTATTCTTGGACACCTTTGTCATCCTAGGAAGAAAACATCAGCTTGTAGAACAATACAGCAGTAAGCTAGTTAGCCAAGCATGCTAATATTTACAGCTAATCACAGAGCAAAAAAACACACTGCTTAATCTCGTTCTTACACTTTTGATCTGGTTTGATCCAAATACAGATGGAGAGTAACGCTCTTACTACATCCCCCACGATTCCTGTGTTTTGAAAATGCTTAACAGTTCCACATCCAACACACACTCGCTTTATCAGAGTTCATGTGGCTTTTACGTTTTGATGGACAGAAGATTCATATTTAAAGACTCTCTTTTGTGGCGTCCCCCAGGGGTCTATTCTGGGACCCTCTTACTGACTAAATGCAGGATCAAGGCTGGATCCGAAACTTTGATTGCGTCAATACTACTGAGTACTGAAAAATCAAGAAACCATTGGAGTAAAAATCTGTGACTTTGTGTTAAATTAAATTTATTAAAACAATGAAAAACAAACAGCTGCTTTATTTCCAACACTGGGACCAGACGACTTTCTCTTAAACTGAGAAGTTGTGTGAGTGCTCTTACTCTGAAAATAAGGACAATAATCTGGTTCCTCTGCTGGGATATTATGCAACCATCGTTGTTACTGGTTAAATCCACCTCAATATTAGCCGTAAGATCTTATTAAGACACAGACAGATTCTATCAAAACCTGAGTACTTTTTCTTTTTGGACAAAACATTGACTAATTTCCCAGAAACAAGGCTTGTTTTTACTTTTTTGAGATTCCTTTTTTGCAGTGTACGAACTCACTATCAGCACCCAACAGCTTCTACAGCTGCAACCATGAATTAATCAATTAGACTTGTTGAAGTTGAAACGATGAGTTAAATTACAGAGAGGCTCCTGCTGTCAGCTGTCTAACGGCGGTTTAAGATGCTGACAGGTTGTCAGTGTTGATATATGGAAAGAGGGGTAGCAGAGCTGCTCTCTGTTTTTTCTTTTTGGCTGCGGTCCAAATATTTAAGGTGGGTTCGAGCAAGTGATGATATAACAGTGTACATTACAAATGCAGGGCCGTTCCTCCTCACAGCTCCCCCAACTCTCTCCACAAAATGATCTCAAATGCAGTTATAAAGAGTAACTAACAGCTTCCACCTGTGTGAGTCTGAAGCTTTTTATTTTCTGTAGTGCAGTAATACGTAATATTTGCCTCTGAAGTGTCGTTGATTTGAGCATAAAAAAGTACCTCAAAAGTACTCGAGTAAATGTTCTTAGTTTCTTTGCAGCACTGTTTACTTAAAGGAGTCTCTGCATGTACGGAACAGTTTATTCTGACAATAACTGCAGGTCACTGTACTATTAATAAAGGGAGCATAAACCAAGGGTTCAAATGGTTAACACCAAAGCACACATACCACAGGTCACCATGACGACACAACAAACTGACTCTGTCAGCTGGGGGCGTTTTCCCACAGCGCACCTGAGGTAGGACGCTGTCAGACAGGTGAGTGCTCGATGCCAGGAGGCCTTTCTGTCATTGCAGCTCTGAAAACTGAACTCCAGCAGGAACGAAGTGTTAGAGGGGAGGGGGAGAAGTACTTTATACTGCATACTACTTTTATTTTACAGTTTGACTTACTTTACAGATTATTAAAACAGAACATCATCAACTAATAAAAGATGATCATATATTAAAGTATGAGCAGACTATTAAGTCATAAAAACATTCACCAGCTGCAATATTAAAGCACATGAATGCATTACTATTTATAATCCAATAATAAAATAATGTAATGTAATGCATGATGAGTACTTTTATTTTTGGTACTTAAGTATTGTATTAATGAAGTATTTGTACACCGTCATATTGCTGCTTTACTTTAGTTAACCCTCTGAACTCTGCAGAGATGGTCCTCCAGTGCCTACATTGGTATTTTTGCTTCTGCATTTCTTGGAGTATCTTATCGTAATAAGTTAAAAAAGTACTGAAATTAAGTCTTAATAAAATATGGGAAATTTTACCTGTTTTTCCCTCAAATTTTATGAAATAAAAACTTCTGCACCAATCAACGCATACATAAAGTAACACAATGTAACGTAAAGTAAAGTTACGCAACATAAAGCAATGTAAAGTTACGCAAAGCAACTAAAAGGTATGCAAAGCAATGCAATGCAACACAACGTAAGGTAATACAATGCAACATGAAGTACTGCAATGCAAATTAATGCAACCTAAAGTAACATAACCTAAAGTCACACAATGCAACTTAAAGGTATGCAAAGTAACGTTAAGTTGCACAATGTAAAGCAACATAAAGTAATGCAACGTAACGAAACAACGCAGAAGTTGCTGATTATTCTGACAGTAAATCCTCCTGAATGTTGCAAGGTGGAACTTTAATTAAATTAAATTAAAATAAATTACAAAAAAAGGTCAAACTGTAAAAATGTATCCTCAAATGAGATTTAAAACTATCAACTGAAACCAACAGAAGCTCCTTTAGATCTGAGTTGAGTTTCAGGTATAAACTCTTTTCATTGACAGTGAAATGTGAGCCGAGCAGCAGCAGAGTCAGTACAAACATCATAGTCGTCTAAAGGTCGAAACAGATGAGACGGAGCTGATATTGATCAATTATTTCAATATTTCTGAAACAACTGCAGTAAAAGTACAATATTTCCCTCTGAATGTCCTGCAGAAGTATAAAGCTGCATTAAAATACTTCAGTCAAGTACAAGTACTTCAAAATCGTCCTCAGCACAGTGACATTCCTCATGTGGGGGGGTGTGTCCGGTTGACTGCACCCTTCACCTGCAGCTCTGCCCACCTGAGCACCTTTAAAAGGAGGAAACTGATTGTCTCTCCTCACTTCTCTCCTCTCCTCCCTCCACCGGAGCAGACAGACAGACAGACAGACAGACTCCTCCTTATCAGCACCATGACTTCTGTTATGTACTCCTCTAGGAGCTCCATGATGGGCGGCGGCGGTGGCAGCATGGGCCTGGGGCGAGCATCCTATGGTGGCATGAGCTCCTTCAGCATGGCAGGAGGAGCAGGAGGCGGCGGTGTTAGGGTCTCCCAGGCCAGCAGGAGCTTCTCTGCCGGCGGTGGTGGCGGCTACAGCTTCGGTGGTGGAGCTGGTGGAGGTGCAGGGTTTGGTTCAGGTGGAGGCTTTGGTGGCGGTGCAGGCTTCGGTGGCGGCGCAGGCTTCGGTGGAGGAGCGGCGATGGACGACAGTGTCATCGGCAACGAGAAGTTCGCCATGCAGAACCTGAACGAGCGCCTGGCCACCTACCTGGCCAAGGTGGCGGCACTGGAGAAGGCCAATGGCGAGCTGGAGCTGAAGATCAGGGGGTTTGTGGAGAGCAAGACTGGACCCAGCACCAGAGACTACAGCGCCTTCTTCGCCACGATCACAGAACTGCACGGCAAGGTGAGGAAGAGGGGCAGCATGGGAAATGGTGTTGGTAAGCTCAGGTCCATCCTTTCAGAATGTGACCACAGAATAAAAGTAATCAAAACATTTCTGATCTTGGCAGCTCTCAGCTTCCGTAAAAATGAAAAGAAGTTAAATAAGAAAAAGCTCAACAAAAAAAATCCAGTAAGAAAATAAAAAATCTAACATCTAAATTAATCAGCAAAAAAACAGAGGAAAAATAAAAGTGGCCAGAATTTCAATAAATTTAATAAATATTTTACTCAAACTATAGCTATATAACTGAAATTAACTTTTGATCTTGGCAACTCTCAACTTCCGTAAAAACAAAAAAATGAGAAAAAATAACAAGCTCAACAAAAAACAACAAATAAAGTCGAGTCAAAATCGAACCAGTAAGCAAACACCATCAAAAAGTGGCCAGAATTACAATCAATTATTTTTCTTCTTGCAATAACAGGACACATATGTTGCAAAAGGAAGAGATAATAAGATTGTTAACCCCTGAACTTGAGGATTAGTTATTGGCAGCTTTTGGCTTCCATAAGCAGCTCAACGTTCGGGGCTAAAGTTCTGTAATTTGAGGCAGTGAGGCGTGAATCGGGGCTCCGGGGGATCAGATGGATGTCTGTGTAAAAATAGGTCGACCACACCTGTGTGTAAGTGATCCAGGTGAAGCTGCCACACCCAAAAACTCAGCAACAATCTGATAATAGATGAAAAGTTTAAAGTCGTCCAGTGAAGAAAAAACACCAAAAGAATCTGCTGTTTTTCTGTTTCATGTCATTGCAAATTGAAAACAATAAAAAAAAGCTAGTAAGTGGACCTTGAGTGTTTTGAAAAAAATAATAATAATAATAATCAACTGATTAATCAGTGATGATTGATGATTAATCAATACTCCAAAATCGACAAAAAAATATTGCAACTTTGGCAGCTCTTGCTTTCCATAAAACATCAATATGAATCAGGGCTCCCAGTGATCGGATGGATGTGGACCACACCTGATCCAGGTGTAAGTGATCCAGTTTTTAGGGTCATAAAACGATGTGCTGTGATTGGTCGGAGTCCTGTGGGTGTGAAATGATGACGTGAAATCTGATTGGCTGCAGGAGACACAAATAAAATCCACAAATAAACATATTTCTTACTTTAATCTTCATACAATGTTTTAATTTTGAATTTTCTATTTATTATCTGTATTTGTGTTTTATTTTTACTTTACATTCTTATATATTTTATTATATTATATATTATATATAATTATTATACTTTAATATGTTCGCACATACAATCATTTTTCTATATCTGACACACAAACATACTTTCTGTGTGTTTACATGTTTATGAATCAGAATCAGACAAATAAAATGGTGGACAGCAAAGAAACAGCATTATTTGGTCAACAGGAAGTGATTTTGTTCATGTGACAGAAGATTTAGCTATTGATCAAACGTTAAATTGATCGTTCCTCCGTCCTCTGACATCATCATTGTTTTCTGTTTGTTGTTTGTTTGTTTACAGATCCAGGACGCCATCATCGTCAAAGGTACCGTCATGCTGAGCATCGACAACGCAAAGCTGGCTCAGGACGACTTCAGAATGAAGTCAGTATCTCTTTGTTTACCTTTGTTTGTTTGTTTGTTTACCTTTTTTTAATGTTACTCCCCTTTAAGCTGTAGACACTTCAATAATCAATAACAGCACATTGATTGATCAGCAGTTATGAGCAGCAGCAGGACGCCCTCTGCTGGCTGCTGAGGGAAACAACAGGAGGATTTATTGTGATTCAACTGCAACAATTTAAAATTAAAATTAAATCTTTGATTCATTTGAAAAATAACATGATTAGAAAATAAGAAAATATTAAAAAACCTTTTAAAGCTGAGAAACAAAGATTTTATAGTTCAAGAAACATTTTGAGAGATAAAAAATAAAACAAACTAAATTTACTTAAAACACTTTTCTATAAACCTTAAATTTGATTCTGTTTTGTTTGAATAATTATTTTATAATTTTTATTGTTTATTCAGTTTGTTTTAAACACTCCAGTGATATAAATTTAATATAATTGATATAAATTTAATATAATTGATATAAATGTAATATAATTGATATAAATGTAATATAATTGATATAAATTTAATATAATTGATATAAATTTAATATAATTATTGATATAATTTGGGTACAGATGTTTTCTACGGAGGCTAATAAACGTCGACAGGCTCTGCAGGGTCAGACTCTTATTGACCCTCTGACATCGTAACAAACTGTGTGCAGGTTCGAGAACGAGCTGTCGATGCGTCAGTCTGTGGAGGCCGACATCGCCGGGCTGAAGATGCTGCTGGGAGAACTGGGCGTGGCCAAAACCGACCTGAGCATGCAGATCGACGGCCTGGCGGACGAGCTGGTGTCCATGAAGAAGAACCACGAGGAGGTACCGATGATTATCTAAAGAATGTGACTGTCTCTTTAATCCTTAAACCATCTTCAGTATGTGGTTGTCTTTTGACTAGCTTAGCACATAGCATACATGAGTACAGGTAAGCAGGAAGTTGACTGAGGCTAGCTCGGCTGTGATTGGAGCACAGAGCAAAAAAGAGCGGGGTTTTAGAAAATGTAAAACCTAACTGACCTCCGCCCTCCCTCCTCCTGCAGGACCTGCTGTCCATGAGAACTCAGATGACCGGTCAGGTGAACGTGGAGGTGGACGCTGCTCCTCAGGAAGACCTCACCAAAGTCATGGAGGAGATCAGAGAACACTACGAGGCCGTCGCCGCCAAGAGCCGCAGAGAGCTGGAGGGCTGGTACCAGACCAAGGTGGGGACGGAAACCTCCGTCTCAGAGAATCAGCGAACCTGAACTGTTTGATGTCTTTTGGTTGACCTGCTCCTCTTCCTCCTCTTCCTCCTCTCAGTCGGAGATGATCAGTCAGGAGGTGGCGACCACAGAGATGACGCTGAAGTCTTCGACCACAGAGGTGAAGGAGGTGAAGAGTCAGCTTCAGTCTCTGGAGATCGAGCTCCAGTCACAGATGAGCATGGTGAGTGCACACCGCTAACTAATGCTAATGCTAACTCTGAAACACAATTTATACTCAATATGTTACAGATTAAATAAATATATATATGACATTCGCCGCCACTAGGTGTCGCTCTAGAGGACCAGCATCTCCAGGCCCTGCAGCCCACAAGACTCCTTTCATAAAACCAGTGAATTTATCTTGTAGATAACTGTTAACTTCATTAAAGTGGACAGAACCAGAATAAAACTCATTAAAGCGTCTCTGTTAGTGTTTCCAACAATCACCAACTCTGGTTTGGTGGAAATAAATCCTTAATTCACCGACGTAGACGATAAAAACAGCAGTTTCAGTCGGAGCAGACCGGCTATGGAAACAAACCACAGAGAGGCTGCGATACAACACAGGCAATTAATCGTTAGATAGCTAGTTAGCTAGTCATTACTACCCTATTATTAGTATTTCTGTTTATCTGGACGCCTCCTGATGTGTTGTTGTTGTTGTTTATTATTGTTGCCTCCCTGCAGAAAATGTCTCTTGAAGCCTCACTCGCTGACATCCAGAGCCGCTACGGGATGCAGTTGAGCGGGTACCAGATGCAGGTGAGCAGCATGGAGGATCAGCTGGTGCAGCTGAGGGCCGACCTGGAGCGGCAGGGACAGGAGTACCAGATGCTGCTGGACATCAAGACCCGTCTGGAGCTGGAGATCGCCGAGTACAGGAGGCTGCTGGACGGAGAGGGAGTCGGGTAAGAGCAGAGAGTCGGACTGAAACGACGTCAGAGTGAGACGTCGCTGTTTTAACACACTCTCAGACATAAAGTGGAAATTATAACTTCAGGCTTTTCTAACTGTACGGAAGCTCTGGGAGGCAAGTGAGAAAAACATTTCTGGTAATCCATTTTCAAAGTCTGATTTAAATTATTTTATATAATAATCTCTAAATTCCATTTATTTTATTTCATCTGTGAACCATTAACATTTTAGCATTTTAGGTTAAAATCAAACTCTTTGGTAAGTACATTTTGAAAAAAACTTAAACATTTTTAAAAAAAGATTATGAAACAAAAAGTCTGAAATTAAAAAAATCAGAAAACCGTTGATGATTTAATATTTACAAATCCAGCTCTTTCATTTTCAAACAATCAGATTCACGACTCAAACATTTTTAAAAAATATATTAATTTTATATTCACTAAGAAGAAAACTATATTATTATTATTATCAGGTCAACTTCAAACTTTTAACAACATTTAGTGACGACAGTTACCTTTAAATTATTAGTTTTCTCAACTTTTTTGGGGGAGAAACTGTATGATGTAATCATTACTATAACCAGTTGTAATTTACTGCAGTTACTCAGTAATCAGATTACAGATACATTTAGTAAAAATGGGGATTATTTAGCAGTTTTTCTTTCCATTTGCTTTTCTATGGTCACATCATTCTGTTATCAATTATTCTTATTGATCTTTCCCGTCTTTAATTACATATTTGAGGTAATTCCAAAGTAAATAAGTTACTTTAATATTGTGATACTTGGATTTTGTTACTAACTACAACAGGTAACTAGTGACTGTAATCAGATTACATTTTTAACACTGCTAACAACCATAACTTTAACTTCCTGTTCCGTGTCTCTCACAGATCTTCAGGCATGTCCTCTTCCTCCTCCACCACCACCACCACCACCAAAGTCATCACGAAGGTCATCGAGGAGACCATTTGAGCGCGACCACCCGTCTGTCTGACCCCCGGAGGAGGAGTCAAACCTCAACCTTTCCTGCGCGCTGAACGAGAGATCGGGAACGACAGTTTCTGTTCTGCGTCCGGCTTCATTATCTTTACTTTCTGCTGTCGTTCAGACCTCAGTCGCCCTGAAGGTTGTTGGGTCTGTGAGGGGAAACATGAAGCGTCCTCGAAGGTCTGAGCCGACTTTAAAGAACCTTCTTTCTGATGCTTCAATTCAAATAAAAGTCTACTAAAGTCAACAGAACGTGTCTGAATGTTTCTGAGGGAAAAGCTGCATAAACACTGTAAAAAAAAAACCCCAGAAGTAATAATAATAACTGACTCGTAAAAATAAAAATAGTCATTTTCTATAGTTAAAATTCAGTTTTTAGATTTAATTTCACATAAAATCTTTTTTTCTTGTCTTTTTAATGTTTAAAGATATTTACAGTGTAAAACAATGATCTATAAATCCAGGTGAACTCTGCTATAATACAATAATCAGACTTACATTTACAGCAGAGTGCTGTTATTATTGGATTATTATAGAACTGTAATAAAGTAATTATCTGTTAAATTACAGTAATTATTGCTGTTTATCAATATTTATTTATTATCAATGAGTTTCCCCTGAAGAACACGCTGCTCCATTTAAACCACTGATTGATTTATTATTGGAAACTAAAGGATAGTGAATGAACGGACCCGGAGGTTTAAGCTGAGTGATGAGAGAAGTGGGAGCGCCTCACATTAAGGTGTGATACCACCGTTTAACCAGCAGGCGTCGACATTTTGACTTTATCAAAAACCTCAAAACAAACTTCAGAGCTCAGCTGTAAAACTGACGTAGCTTCACTTCTGCCTCCATCTTTATCTTCTAATGATCAATGAACACAAACAGTGAACTCAATGACTCAATAACTGATCAGAGACTGAAGCTCTGTCACTGTATTTTATAAGTTTTCTTACAAACCTTAAAATCAAGAAGGCCACAGTGGGCTCCCGACCCTCAGTTGGGTCCCGACCCTCAGGTTGAGACCCCCACTGATTCAGACTCAAACACCCAAAAGAAAGCAAACAGAGCGATGTGTCATTAGTTTCTTTAATAAGTCTTTTCCAGTACAAGATGCTGCATCACTTTTGTCTTTTTTGCGGCTGTTTTTTTTTGTGTGTATTTTCATATTTTGTAGGAATGACATAATCAATAGAAGATTTGTACACAGTGAGCGATCTGGACGCTGTTGGGCTCCGTTGTGCTGATGAGTTTTGGTCCTGTCGGATCCCAACCAGACTGAAAACTGAGTTCAGAAAATACTGGAATGATTGTAAGGAATGTCGTCAGCAGATTATCGTCAACAACAACAAAAAAAAGATCACTGCGGCGAGTCCTGATCAATAATCAATACTGGTCACTAAGAAATATAAAAATTATAGCATCAGATTCTTAATACAGTAACAGCTTTACGCCTGCGAGCACCCACACCTGTACGCAGAACACTAGTAAACTGGCAGCGAGTGCTCGATGAGGACTCACGGTTGGCAGAAGTACTGCGGTCGCGTACTGAGGTTCTGAACCAGGACCCGGTTCACCAACTGGGTCTGAAGGCCGAGCTGGTTTCTGGTGTTAAAGTGAAGTTGTGAGAGTAAACGGGTGTTTCCCAGAAGCATCGTGTTTGACGGGTCAGATTTAAAGCAATAAAACGTAAACGTATAAAAGTTCCAACGTTCGCTGTTCGAGGGGAACGTTGGGTTTTGTTGAGTCCAGCAGGTTCCGGGGGATCCGGTCCATCACCGGATGTTCTTCTGGCTGATTTTGGTCATTTTATTTTGCTAATTGATCGTTCTGCCTCTGACGAACGAGTGCGAGGAAAAGCAGCTGTAGAGTGTTTTTATATCCGGATGAATTAAACGTTTATTTCCACGACAGGAAGTTGATCCACTGCGGCTCCGACCAGAACATAAGGTCCCTACTGAGCACGTGCACACCGCTGTCACTTCCTCCTTTATAACAAACCACATTTCATTTAGAGCGAGTGAGCGGACTTTAACGAGCTGATCTTCATGATATCAAGTTGTTTTATTGATCAAAGTAAATAATCAATAATCAATATTAGTGCGAACACAATATTCAACACGTGATCAGACTCACGTAAACGTTATGTTCTGATTGGATCTCTCTACCGAGGCCTCACTGATGGGATTATTCTGGTTGTTTACAGTCAGTAAACAACCAGCCAACTGTTTGTTTGTTTGTTTGTTTGTTTGTTTGTTTGTGAGGACGCAGAAACACAGCGACTGGTGAACTTTATAAAGTCCTGATATCAGCAGGTTTGAGGATACGAGTGAATATATAATGCTGCCTTCCCACCAATGGGAGTGTTGTTGTTGTTGTTGTTGTTGTTGTTGTTGTTGTTGTTGAGGGTTAACTGAATCAGAACGTACAGCTGCGTGTAAACAGGAACATTAGTGGAATATTATCATCAGACATGTAAACAGATCGATCTGATACAGAATACTGGAGTTAAATTGTTCTTATATCTGTCGGTGCGTTACTTTCAGAGGTGATCAATAAGTTCGATCAGCAGACGTATCGGTCGGTGATTGATCGGTGAGAAGAGGAGAAGTCATATTATTGATGATTATTTACGTTTGTATCAGCTGATATTTTATTATCAGACATTTAAACTATAAACATTAAAATGATTCTGAAACTAAAATAAATGTTAAAGTGTCCTGAGTTAACTTCTGTTATTGATTTATTGATTTATTGATTTACAAATAAAACTGAAAACTCATTAATCAGTCGGATTATAACGGACCGTCATAAGCCCCGCCCCCTTTGTGCTCTCTGCTCCAATCACAGTCGAGCTAGCCTCGGTCAACTTCCTCCTGTCCTGTACTTATTAATATGCTATATGCTTTATGCTAAGCTAATTTATGTTGCACAGACAACCACATCTTAGGTTAGCTAATGTTAGCATAGCGCTAGCTAACTTTAGCTTAGCATGTAGCATATGTAAGTACCGCACAGGAGGAAGTAGCTCGACTGCTATTGGAGCGCAGAGCAAAAAGGGGGCGGGGCTTATGACGGGTCAATGAGGAGCCCAGAAAACGACGGAGCGCGATCAGAACCACAAACGTGACTGAGACAAAAACAATCATCAATCTGTAGGAAACGGCCATAACGACGTCCGTGAACCGGGTCACTGAACAGGGTCCGTGATCCGAGTCCGTGAACCGGGTCCGTGAACCGGGTCACTGAACCGGGTCCGTGAACCGGGTCACTAAACCGGGTCCGTGAACCGCGTCCGTGATCCGGGTCACTGAACCGCGTCCGTGAACCGGGTCACTGAACCGGGTCCGTGAACCGCGTCCCGTGATCCGGGTCACTGAACCGGGTCCGGGTCCGTGAACCGGGTCCGTGAACCGGGTCATTGAACCTGGGTCCGTGAACCGCGTCCGTGATCCGGGTCATTGAACCGGGTCCGTGAACCGGGTCACTGAACCGGGTCCGTGAACCGCGTCCGTGAACCGGGTCACTGAACCGGGTCCGTGAACCGCGTCCGTGAACCGGGTCCGTGAACCGGGTCCTGGTTCTTCAGGAGCTGCTGGTCTGTTTCAGTAATAAAAACATAATGAAGTATTTGTGCTTGTGTATCAGTAAGTACTCCAAAATAAGTACTGGTACTGAGACGGACCAGTTCAAAGATTATCTACAACCCACCCACAGACACACAGAACATCAACACACACACAGACACTTGCATAAGAGCAAATCAGTCGGTCCACCGGGCCCACGTATACGATGCAAAAGAGCACAAAGGTATGAAAATGTAAGAAAAACTGAAAAGGAAACAATTTATATATATTTATAAAAAAGAGGAATAATACTTTGTCTGTCCGAGAGGTTTAAAGGGTTCGCAGTCTGTTCTAGCTACTGTCGCTGCCCATGGTGCTGCTGCCGTTGCTGCTGGTGCTCGCCGTGTCCGCTCGCTCTCGTTTGTGGATCTGCTCGTGCGCTTTGAGGTGACCCGACTGGCTGAACGACTTCCCGCAGTGCGGGCAGGCGTACGGCCGCTCCCCCGTGTGGATCTGCTGGTGGGCCTTCAGGTGGCCGAGGCGGCCGAAGCTCTTCCCGCACTGCGTGCAGCCGAACGGCCGCTCGCCCGAGTGGATCTTCTCGTGGGTTTTTAGCACGCCAGAGTTGCTGAAAGTCTTCCCGCACTGCGAGCAGGTGAAGGGCTTCTCGCCCGTGTGGATCTGCACGTGGTTGCGGTAGCTGGTCTCCTTGCTGAAGCTCTTGCCGCAGTGCTGGCAGCAGAACGGCCGCTCGCCCGTGTGGCTCAGCTGATGAGCCTTCAGCTCCTTCGACTGGCTGAAGCTCTTCCCGCAGGTGACGCAGATGAACGGGCGCTCGCCGGTGTGCAGCCGCTGGTGCGAGCGCAGGTCGTCGGCCTTGGTGAAGCCTTTGGGGCAGTGGGCGCACACGTACGGCTTCTGGCCCGTGTGGATGAGCTGGTGTCGTTTGAGGTTTCCCGCCTGTCCGAAGCTCTTGCCGCACTGCGAGCAGGTGTAGGGCCGCTCGCCGGTGTGGATGCGCTGGTGAGTCTTGAGGTTTCCCAGCGTGCTGAAGTTCTTGCCGCACTGCGTGCAGGAGAACGGTTTCTCCCCCTGCATGTTGCGAGGCTTCCTCACCGTCGGGCTCTGGGTTTTGCTCGTGACGGCGGCGCCGCTGCCCTGCCCGTTCACCGCCGCCGCCACCTCCGCCGCCGTCTTGCCCTCCGCCGCCGGCTGCAGCTCGTACAGCGTCCCCCCTCCGAACTCGGGGTCCAGTTTGCCGATGCCGTCCATGAGCAGCGCGTCGGGCCGCAGCTTGTTGAGCTCGGTGCGGAGCTCGGCCATGTGGATGGACTCCAGGCCGTTGTGCTGCAGGTGGGCGGCCATGTTGGATTCTGTGGTGTAGTAGCACTGCAGGTCCACATGGTGGTCGGACTTTATGTAGTCCAGAGTGTCCGTCACCTGCAGCACAGACAGAACAGGTAAGCAGAAAGCCCGGAAACACTTTTATTTTGAAATTCAAGCAGATCACTGATTGGATGCTCGGTTACCATAACAACCATCACCAGCAGCCAATAATTCCAATAACAATAGAGAACCACGAGTTATTGATCACTGGTATTATCATCTGTGTATAACTGATTCAAACAGAGCTAGCTTAGCACGATAGCAAGCTGTTGATGCTAGCTAGCAGCTGTACGCCACTGCTAACTGGCACGAACCACCTGGCCAAACCAGGTGAGCACAGGTGAAACCAGGTGAGCACAGGTGAAACCAGGTGAGCACAGGCTGATTAACATACCTTAAATCAGGCTTTTACTTTGAAGGAATGTTACAGTGTTTAAAGCTGTCACTCTGGTTGTTAGTGTGATGATGTCATTGTCTCGTGTGATGATGTCATTGTCTCGTATGACAGCAAATAAAGGAGAAACCCAAAACATCAACAGCTGGGTCCAGATCTTTCTACACACGGTACCACAGAACCACGGTACCACAGTACCATAGAACCACAGTACCACAGAACCACGGTACCACAGTACCATAGAACCACAGTACCACAGTACCACAGTACCACAGAACCACGGTACCACAGTACCACAGTACCATAGAACCACAGTACCACAGAACCACGGTACCACAGTACCATAGAACCACAGTACCACAGAACCACGGTACCACAGAACCACGGTACCACAGAACCACAGAACCACGGTACCACAGTATGTATTTATATCCTGTTACAGTGTGTGTACGTTCGGGTTGTAAGCTGATTATTTAAAAGGATTTACAGCCATCAGTTATTGATCTTAAGAGCTGGAGACACACTGAACTCATCAGGATCAGGATCAGTGTGTGTGTGTGTGTGTGTGTGTGTGTGACTGTGTGTGTGTGTGTGTGTGTGAGTGTGTGTGTGTGTGTGTGTGACTGTATGTGACTGTGTGTGTGTGCTGTGTGTGTGTGTGAGTGTGTGTGTGTGTGTGTGTGAGACTGTGTGTGTGTGACTGTGTGTGTGTGTGTGTGTGTGTGACTGTGTGTGTGTGTGTGACGACTGTGTGTGTGTGTGTGATGTGTGTGTGTGTGTGTGTGTGTGAGACTGTGTGTGTGTGTGTGTGTGACTGTGTGTGTGTGTGTGTGTGTGACTGTGTGTGTGTGTGTGTGTGTGTGTGTGTGTGTGTGTGTGTGTGTGTGTGTGTGTGAGACTGTGTGTGTGTGACTGTGTGTGTGTGACTGTGTGTGTGACTGTGTGTGTGTGTGTGTGTGTGTGTGTGTGTGTGTGTGTGTGTGTGTCTTTACCTGGGAGATGTAGTCAAACACGGAGCTCGGCTCGTACTGGGATTTGTAGTCCAGCTCTGCGACGTCGCCATGGTGAAAGTGGCCCAGGTGGTGGTTGCCGTGGTGACCGTGATGCTCGGACTTGATGTAGTCGAGGCCGCTGATCTCCATCTTGATCTGGTCCTGGCCCAGCTCGGCGGTGGAGAGCGGCTGGATCTCGGACAGGTCCACGGTCCGGATGGGCTCCAGGTCCCCGTCCTCCGGCTCGCTCTTCACGCACGGCAGCATCACCAGCGGCTCGGCGATCTCCGCCGCCAGCGAGCTGAGCGTGGGCGTGGGGCAGTCGGAGGACAGGAGCGCCAGAGTGGGCGTCGGGGCGGAGGAGGCGGGCCCCGGGCCGCAGTCCACCTCCAGGGGCGGGGGGGAGCCGCACTCCGGGGGCAGGCCGAGGCTCAAACACTCGGCCTCCAAGTCTGTCATGGTGAGGGGGGCGGAGCTAATCCTCCTCACCGCAGTCCGATCAAACACCTGAAGGTTAAAGAGTCCACCTTCCTCCTCCTCCTCCTCCTCCTCCTCCTGAAGAGAGCGTCCTGAGGGGAGGAGCTGGGAGGTCGGGGACGCGTCCCTGAGTCTCCTCCGGGAATCCAACAAGCGGTCGGCGAGGCGTCGTGCTGATGTCACCACCCACAGCTGACTGGGACCAGCCTGCGGACAGAAAGGGGGACGGCACACACCTGGTTCAGGTTCAGACTCCAACACTCAGAACAACGGGTCGACTGTAAGGTGTGTGAGCCTGCTGACAGTAAATCACCATGACGACAGACGGATCCAGGTAAAACTGAAGACTTACACCTGAAGTTACCTGGACGCTCACTTCCTCACTGTGGACCACCTGTTTATCACCTGAATATTACCGATCAATCAATAAACACATCATCAATATCAACTGATCAGCTACGTCGGAAGAAAGGGATTTTTATTATTTGTTGGTTTTTGGTGTTTATGTAGTTTTATATTCACTCTGCAGATGATTGATTATTGATTATATTTAACTGTATAACTTTAGCAGCAGTTTCACACACACACACACACACACACACACACACAGGTAACCCTCCTCACGCACACACAGGTATCCCTCCTCCAGACGCCACGCAGCCCCCGCAGGAACCCGCAGGAACCCGCAGGCTGGCTCCAGGATGTCCGCTGTCAGCGCGCAGGAAGTTGGCGGCGCTCGGAGAGAGGAGAGCGGCGGAGGGAGCTCGTTAGCAGCCGCAGCACCGCCGTACAAAGACAGGGCAGGATGCCATGTAGCTAACGGAGCTAGCCAGTGGCCATCTTGTTTATCACACTAACGTCGTTTGCGGCGCTGCTAAGCTAACTAGCTGCAGTTAGCATGAGGGGCAGAAAGTGAGAGTGAAGCGGGGAGGAAGAGGCGGACAGCGGCGGCTTCCTCCGCGGCTCCCTGCGCACTATTCAGCGGCTTTCTGACGCGGACTGCGCGCAGCGGGAAAGCGGCTGACAGCACAAAAGAGTCCGAGTGTGAAGCTTCACTCTCGGTCGGTTTGTGGCAGAAAGCGGCGGTAAAACAATCCGGAAACCGAACAACGGCGGCGGCGGAGCCACGCAGCGGTACCGACACCGAGCGGGACGGCGGGGTTCGGCGGTACGTTACCTGCGGGTGGTCCGGTTCATGGCTGCCCGTCGCTGGTAGCTAACTCCGCCGGACCCGCCACGTCCACCTCGGCAGAACAACCCGCCGCCTCTCCTCCCCTCTACCGCTAACTCCCTCCCTCCTTCCCTCCCCCTCCTTCCCTCCTTCCTGCCCACTGGCCGCTCGTGCACGGGCGGGCGGGTATGAAGGTAACTACGGCAACGGTAGTAGGTGGGTATAGTTGTGAGTGTCGCGCGCAGAACCCGAACGGGGCGGGCGGGCGCGCGCTCGGAATCACCGTCACCTCGCGCTCGTTTGTTTCAGCAGCACGCGCTGATCCGGCTCACTGACGTCACAACAGGTCAATTACGCTTATTAATAACTAATTAATATATTATAATGTTCGTTTCATAGACGATTGTTTAAATAAAGGTGGTTTAGTGTATATAAACAACTTTATATGTTTATTTATTATTAAGTTTTATGGAAGCTCATTAACGCCAACATGATCTAAAATATCTTTATAATGAGAAACTTTCTCAAAGTCATTATTTTAAGATGCTGAGTCAATATTTTAATGTAATATTAGAAACCCTCTCTTTATAATCACTTTATTATCTTGTTATATTGGCATTAATGAGCTTCCATAGTCAGATTTAAGGGAGATTTAACAACTGAAACTGTTATAACTTAAACTTTGGCTGAAACCCACTTTAATATTTGTGAAAACTTTATTCTACTTGTCAAGACCAGGTCCAGGTCCAGGACCAGGACCAAATCTATGGAAGCTCATTTCTGCCAATGTGACGTAACAAAAAAAGGATTCGGTACGTGATTATATTCCTTAATATGTCATATTTTCCAGTTGTTTAATTTATTCTTCTGATTCTTCTTTCAAACAGAAAACACTGTTCAACCTCCTGAGTCCTTCCTCACCTTCCTCACCTGTAGAGCCAGTTTGTTCATTTTAACTTTAAACTCGATGAAAACTGTAAATGAAGCTTCCTGATAGTTTCTTAATCTCCTGTTTGTTAAACAGTAAAGCAGAAATTTAAAGAGATGTTTAATTGATCTTAACTTATACGATTCATTAAACACTTAATAAATGAAACCTGATGAATGTGTTTAACAGGTAATTATTTTTATTTTAGTAAAACAATGAACACATTATAAATTCTTTATAAATAAACGTTTGAGTCTGCAAATAAACTCTGAAGATAATTTATGAAAAGCTTCACATTTATATTTTGTCACAATTATAAAAATTTTATTGAGAAATCCTTTAATTGACAGAAATTATTTATTTCAGACGCTGCTCTTCTCTTCTCGTCCACCAGGGGTCCTCGGCGTGATCCTGAAACCCCGAAACACTGAAATCGACTTTTGTTGTCTTTTTAAAGACTTATAATCTAATAATAGTGTATCTATAGTGGTTTCTGATCTGGACCTGGTCCAATGTGGTCCAGATGTTAATAAGTCAAATAAAGAGAGTAAAATCTTTTGTGTCCCTGATGATTAAGACTTTTTATTTATAGAACAATAAATAATAAATATTACAGGAGAAACATTAATGGAAGATTTAGAGGAATAATTCGGCTGCGTTCTCACTTCAGGTAAAACACATTTTTTATTTATTCAAATGTGAAGTCAAACACTCACTGGATGTTTTCCGAGCATTTCACAGCCACCGTAGATCCTTTTATTCCTTTATTCAGACTTAATGTTTGATTATTGTGCTTTAGTTTAATTAACCCTCATACAGTAATATATATATATATATATATATCTCGATAGAGAGAGAGAATTCATATTATAACCCAGAATAAAACCACTGCAGCAGTTATATTGTGTTTGTGATGGTTATAAACAATAAAATCAGACAGTAAAATGAGACTCTTCAGACTCGGCTGGTAGTTGTGAACATTTATTGGTTTTGTTTGAATTTTAACACTAAAAAGTACCTGGTCTCAAAGACTAAAACAGGTAATAAAAACAAAAAGAAACACCATCACCTTCATCAGCACATATCGTATCATCATGGCAGACAGCTGTAACTGTAAACGACATTCAGACGGTGCTGCTGTGATCAACACGGGGCACGAAACAGCCTCACAGTGAATCTACTCACTGCTTCAGATGTTGGCAATAATTCACTCAGAACGGACGTCGGTCACAAATCGATTCTGACCGACTCCGAGAAGGTTCCGACTCTCTGCGTCACTTCTTTAAAACGGTGTCATTATTAAAACAGGAAACTCTTTTTAGATTTGGTTTTAATTAGATTGCTGAATTACAAAAAAAGGGCACATTGTTATCAAAAGTATTGCATCAAATCCAAAACACTGAGATGAACTTTCTTTGACAAAAACAAGAGCGAGTCCGTCGTAGAAACAGATTTAAAACCAAATAAAAAACCGTCCAGGATGCAAACTTTTAGTTTCCCTGCGTCCTTACAAACATACATTCTGCTTACAGACAATGAAACATCCCTTTCATCCCCTCAGGCCCAACAATACGAGGCCCTCGGGTCGTTCCCTGAGGAACCCCGTCTGGAGCTTCACAAACTCCAGCTTTACTCATACAAACCGAAGGGTTTCTTTGAGGAACCCTTCAGGGTCGGTCTCGTCACAGGTCGAGCTCCTTCTGGGCTCCGAGCGAAACTCTTCACGGCAAAACTTTTTAGCTCCGACTGCAGAGTTCGTTCCCTTTCTTTCGCTCTTTTCACTCCTTCGGTTCAACAACCGGGCTCAACTGAAATAACAGTCTCTTCTCTCCACATGGGAAAAACACAACCACTTTTCAGAAAACCGCCAAACCAACAAACAATAAAATAACAACAACAACAACAACAACAGGAGTCAAGATGTTTTCTCTGATATGTACACATGAATGCGTCTCAGTGCTCCAATAAAATATCGTCTGTTGCGTTACGAACCGACGCCTCGAACCTCCTTCAGAAACAATGTTAGGACAGAACTGATCTGGTGAGAATTATTTTTACTTTATAATAATAATATAATCACAAGATCTGAATCACATAATTAAAACTTAATACCTCACAAATAAAAAGAAAAGCTTTTAAAAATATTTTTTATCCGCACCCTATAATTATGACTTTAAATCTCTTAAATTACAAGAAAAAAAACCTCATAATTCTGAGATAAAGTTGTAATTATGAGATCTTCTACTGATTAGATATTAGGTGTTAATTAGGAGAAAACACGTCTTCTCCAGCCTTCCTTACGATTGTGTAATTACAATATTGCTTTTACAAAAATAATTCTCTCATTATGATTTTAGCGTCACTTAAATAAAAGATCACATAATTATGACTCAAGTTTTTAAAGATCTGAGAAAATATTCGTGAAGAGAAGACATCTTTTTTCTCATGAGATCAAAGTTTTTAAACATTAAAATTATTATTGTCAGTTATGAGAAAATGTATTCGTATCACATAATTTAATATTTCTTAAATGACGAGAAACAATCTCAGAAAAATCTCAATTATGAGATAAAAATGTTTAATTATGAAATTCTCTCGTAATTATATTAAATATCAGAATCAACAGATTTATAGAAATTTTACATCTAGAAGCTCTTTGCAACATCAAGATCGTCGAGTAAATATAAGTTTTAATTAGAAATAGAAATAGAGAAAACTTATTTTTATGTCAACGACACATAAGAACTGATAACAATATATCAAAAATCATCCTATATGATGTCCTCTTGTGGCTTCCGTATGCAAAAGTTAAATAAATTTATATTGGTATTCATTTTTTTTAAAAATCAGAAACATTTAGTCAATTTTTAAGAACCGTTTTGAGCGTTTCTGACTGAGTTTGAAAGTGTTTGGTTTGATTTTAGTCTCAAGAACAAATTTCTCGTCATAATTTTCCCTTTTTTAGTTTTTTTCGTCGACCAGAAACGTTTCTTTCCTTTATGACTTTGTAAACAAGAGCAGGAGCATCGAGTGGTTAACTGCTGTCAGGACAAAACCCATATTCACCTTTCAGTTAATGTTAGCCGTTAGCATTTTAGCATCAGCCAGCTGTTTACAGTTCAGTATGGAAGCCCAAAAGAGTTAGATGAATAAAAATACTCATGAAAAGTGAAAGTCAAAAATTTAAGATTGTAAGACAAAATTTGAGTTTCTATTTTAGTTATTGTTTCCTGTTAAAGTTTGGCTCAAAACTTCCACATTATTTTCTACACGAGCACACATTCCTAATTTTTTCATCTGTGTTCCTTGTCTGGGCTTCCATACTCATGTGAAAAATTGTTATTTAAGATGATATTTTTTATTTACAAAATATATAATCTTAAAGGACTCCATCTTTAAACCTGAGAAGTATGTTTGTGCGTTTGCAGTTCTGTGTTATTTTAACCCGACAGCGTTTATATAAAATAAAAAAAACACTGAGACGCATCCAAAATGAAACAACAAATAAAAAATTACACATAAATGTAGTCAAATATCAACGCTGAACGTCTAACTGAGGTAATGAGGTCTGTGTGGAAACAGGAACAAAATAAAACACTTGAAATGTTTTAAATGAGGTATGTGAACATGTATGGAGGCTGAAAGTGCAACGAATAAACGAAGCGTTTGCAGAAAAGTGGTTGAGTAATTCAGATGTTAGCAGACAACAAGCTCGAGTTATTAAAGCAGCATTCAGAGGCAAAGACAGGAAATTAAACAGCAAGTTAATCGTCAATATTATCAAATTAAAGTAGATTTTCCCCCAAGGACACTCAGGTTCATATGGAAGCCCATTTCTGTCAAACTGACAGGGAAAAAAGGAGTCTGTAAATATTATGAGAAACTTTACAGGATTGGCAGAAATGGGCTTCCATAGATTCATTATCCACCAAAATCAAGATTTTAATTCTTGTTTTTGTTACATCTTGTTTTTTTTGTTGTTTTTTTTTTTTTTCTCTACAATTCTACTTTAAATCAAACTCCGGCTGCTCAGCAGAGTTTTGGCTTCATATTGCTTAAAATCTTTTGTTCAAAAAAAAAAAAGAGAGAGAGAGAAATCGCACATTTACAAAGCGTAAAAACGATGGAAACTGCTGATTGTTCGCGCTGAAGCATCGCGGAGCAGGAAAACAACATCGATACATCAAAGTTCATCAGAATACGCCACTGATATAGTTTTATCTAATCCTTCGGGTCCGTCCATCCCTCCGTCTCATCCTGATGTACGAATGCTACAGAAGATAAAGCCGGTGAGTACAGAGTACCCCTGAGGCTCTTAGCACAAACAGATGAAAAGGTAGGAATGATTAAAATAAAAAATACACTTAAAGTGAACAGAGTCCGGTTGGAGTCGAGAGATAAACCCTTAAATTAAGCGAGTTAAAGAGAATTCTCACTGTGGACCACTGACACTGAACTTTATTCCATTAAATATATTTTAATGGATAAAAATATTATACAGAGTAAAAATGTAACATCGACTGTCACCAGAAGTAGCCTTTAGTACGTTTCTAACTTGATTTAATATATTGTAAAAATAAAATGTATTTTGTAACTATGTGAGGAAGTTATTAGCTAATTTTTGTCCCTTAATATGAGAGTTTGTATGTTTATCATTACAGATTTTAAATGTATTTTGGCAGGATAAGGCCTCCATACATACAAGTCACCTTTTGGATTTGGGTTAAAAAAAGAAATAAAAAACATTAAACTTCCTGTTGGTTCAAGCTTGTAATTGATCCTGTGTGAGGCGTTCAGGAAACCTACATTTTTCCCTCGTTCCTTTAATAATCTCATATCTGGTCAGTATATGGAAGCTCATTCCTGCCACTTGCAAAGTTAGGAATGATAAAAAATAAAATGACTTCTATGAATGAAATTTATGAAATAGGTTAAAATGAGAGTCGATTATTTGTCCTGTAATTCAATTAAATCAAAACAAATGTAAAATAAACGTTTTTATTCAAAATATCCTGTAATCACTAGATCGGTATCTTATAATTATAACAAAATAAAAGCAATTTTTTTACCTTCAGAATAAAATCAAACATTTTATTTTTCGTTTGCAATTTTTTTACTTAACATTTCATCTGTCATTTCTTTTACTGGCAGAACAATAAAAATACTTACAGGACAATAATTAAATACTAAGTCAAAATGTCCACTTAGTATTATATAATTTTCATATTTCTATTCCAAAAAATGTTTTTTGTCTTAAATTATATTTTTTCCTGGCAGTAATGGGCTTCCATACAGTTCAGACTAACTGAAGTAAAAAAAAGAAATCGTTCAGCTGAAGCTAAAAAAAACATCGTTTTAAAAACATAAGATAACTTCCAGCTGAAAGCGCGTGGTCCGGTTTGTTTGTCAGGAGGTATCTGTGTGTCGACGTGAGGTTACTGAGCCGAAGAACGAGGGAGGGAGGGAGGGAGGGAGGATGGAAGGAAGGAAGGAAGGAAGGATGGAAGGAAGTAAGGAAGGAAGGATGGAAGGAAGTAAAGAAAGAAGGAATCAGGATTTAAACATCTTCCTCTTTCTCGTTTCGTCATCATCAGTTCTGTCCGAAGAGTCAAAATTGTACAACAAACATAAAAAAAAGGATAAAATTTCACATTCAGAGTTCAAACAATCGATGCCACTGATGAATTTTATCTTCCTTTGTTGGTTTTTCCGGTTTACGAGTCAGCGACACAAAAGATCGTCCAAAAAAAACCCAGAAACACTTTTAATTAAAAACAATAAAAAACAAACGTAGAAAAAAGTTCACTTTACGTTCAGTGACCGTCCACGCTGTACACGGAAAACTCCAGGGAACAGGAAGCGGCGCTCCGACCGTCCGACCGCTGAGGCGACGAGCTTATTGCGAAACAACGACGAAGATTCACCTGCAGGGACAGAAACTCACCTGCAGGGACAGAAACTCACCTGCAGGGACAGAAACTCACCTGCAGGGACAGAAACTCACCTGCAGCAGCTGCAGCTCACTTCCTGTTCACCTGGAGGTTCTTACATATATTACAGGAGCAGAAGAAGAGGAGGTACAGCAGGAGGAGGAAGTTTTTCCCTTCGTCGCTTCGTCTGATCCATTTTATTCTGGTTGAAGTCTTTAGATCCAGATCGGTTCTTCTGGACCGATCTCAGACGGTTCTTCTGGACCTTCGAATCCCTTTTTTAAATCCGTTTAGTCGAAACATTTCTGAGTTTAAATCCCTGAAAACTAAAAATATTCGAAATTCAGATTATAAAGTTCTGATAGTTTAAAGTTCTGAATGTCTCCCGCCGCGGACCCGGCCGCTCAGAACCGCAGGAAACTGGTGTCAGAACCGCAGGAAACTGGTGTCAGAACCGGAGGAAACTGGTGTTCGGAACCGGAGGAAACTGGTGTTCAGAACCGGAGGAAACTGGTGTCAGAACCGGAGGAAACTGGTGTCAGAACCGGAGGAAACTGGTGTCAGAACCGGAGGAAACTGGTGTTCAGAACCGGAGGAAACTGGTGTCAGAACCGGAGGAAACTGGTGTCAGAACCGGAGGAAACTGGTGTCAGAACCGGAGGAAACTGGTGTTCGGAACCGGAGGAAACTGGTGTTCAGAACCGCAGGAAACTGGTGTCAGAACCGGAGGAAACTGGTGTCAGAACCGGAGGAAACTGGTGTCAGAACCGGAGGAAACTGGTGTTCGGAACCGGAGGAAACTGGTGTTCGGGGCCTTTAAGTTGAAAACAGAACCGGCAGTCAGACCCGATCTGGTCCTGGTCCATAGTGAGCCATGTGACCTCCGCCCACAGACGCTGTGATTGGTTCTGACGAGGGATGGACCGACCCTACAGAATCTGTGTTTAATCAGAAGTTTTATGTTAAAGACTGTTTCATTGAGTCGGGATATGCTACATGCTAAGCTAATCAACGTAGATTAAAATATCGTCAAATCTTAAATTAATGATCGGATGTTCGTTGTGGCTCAGAGGTCCAGCGGGTCGTCCACTAATCAGAAGGTTCGATCCAATGATTGGTTTCTGTTCTGGTGAGCAGTCGGTGCCGGTCGGGTCCGTTGGCAGAATGCTAACTAACTAGCATCTGTTAGCTACCTGATAATCAATAGTTAGCTAATCAATAGTTAGCTAATCAATAGTTAGCTAGCTGGGCTTTTAATCATCTTCATAATGTGGCTCACTTTAGATTAGCGTAGCTTAGCATATCCGAGTACAGGGAGGAGGAAGTTGACCGAGTATCGCTCCACTGTGATTGGACCACAGAGCAAAAGGGGGCGGGGCTTAATTATATCTGAAGACGTCTTGTTGGACATTTTTCTTTCATTTCAAAAACTAAATGATTCAAACGATCAATAGAGTCATTGATTATGAAAATTATATTTAGTTGCAGTCAACTTCCTGTTGTATTTCAGAGTAAAAGCATGTCTACAGCCGGTCTACCCCCCCGCTGGTCTCGTCTGTTTGGTGTCTTCAGGTTTTTGTTTGAGTGAATCAGTAAGTCCAGTTTCGGGTCCTGGACTCGGGTCCTGGACTCGGGTCCTGGACTCGGGTCCTGGACTCGGGTCTGGTTTGTGTTCAGCTTGTGTAGTTGATCCTGTTCGGGTTGAGGACGGGTTCAGTGCTGGGTCCGGATGTGGCTGTGGAGGCGGGTCGCAGAGGAGAACCTCTTCCCGCACTCCGAGCAGCGTAGAGCCGTGGCGGCGCCGCCGGGCGGGGACAACGAGGACGCCGTGTCGGTGGCGGCGTTCTCTGCGATGTGAGTCTGACGATGAGCTTTGAGGAGAGACATCCGACTGAACCTCCGACCGCACTCCTCGCACTCCGACCACACCCTCCGTCTCTTCTTCTGCAGAAACACACAGGAAACAGTCACTTTCATTTCAAAATAAAATTAACAAAATACATTTTTAATAAATAAAAAGTCCTCCCTCACCTTCCTCCCTTTGTCCTCCCCTTCTTCCTCTTCTTCCCCCTCCTCTTCCTCGTCCTCCCTGGTCGTCAGGGGTGACGGGCAGGTGCGGCCGGGCGGCTCGACGCCGTCTCTGCGGTCGTCGGTCGCCAGAGCGGCCAGCGTTTCGTTGGCGGCGGCGTCCTCGTCGTCGTCCTCCAGCAGCTGAGACGGAAGAGTCAGGAGACGATGAAGCATCGAGGCAGACGAGCGACGACCAGAAGACCCTGAAGACGGAGAGATGATGATCCTGATCAGTAATCAATACTCCCATTATTAAAGCATCAATCAACCTGATCAGCCTTCAGCAGTCAGCTAGTGTCTCTGTAGTGGAGACTAAACGTTATCAATGATCCATATCAGCAGTTTGAATCCAACTAAAAGCTCCCTGCACCAAACTCCCTTTAAGAAATATCACATTTTAACAATTCCTAACGTGTTCGTAACAACACGTAACTCTAGAAACACGAGCTAAAGGCCGTCATATGTCCACAGTCTGACTGTCAATACGGGATCAATATGACTGATATAACACGAGCTACAGGCCGTCATACAGTGGATATAAACAGTCTACACAGCCCTGTTAAAAGGTTTTTGTGATGTAAAAAAAGATAAATCATGTCCAAACTGTTTCCACCTTTAATGTAAAAACAAACTGAAATCTTTAAAAATAAAAAACTTACAATAACCTGGTTGCATAAGTGCGCACACCTTTAAACTAATAATTTGTTGAAGCACTTTTTGACTGTATTACAGCACTCAGTCTTTTTGGGTAGAAGTCAGTTAGTATGGTAATATTTGCCCACTCTTCTTTACGAAAGCGCTCTAAATCTGTCAGATTGCGAGGGCGTCGCCCGTGTACAGCCCTCTTCTGATCACCCACAGATGTTGAATGGGATTCAGGTCTGGGCTCTGGCTGGGCCACGTTCATCTTCTGGTGAAGCCGTGCCGTTTTGTTGATATGGATGTATGCTTTGGGTCGTTGTCGTGCTGAAAGGTGAAATTTCTCTTCATCTTCAGCTTTCTAAGGGAAGCCTGAAGGTTTTGTGCCAAAATAACTGATATTTGAACTGTTCATAATTCCTTCCACCTTGATTAAGGCCCCAGTGCACGATGCTGCCACCACCATGCTTCACTGTGGGTACGGTGTTCTCTGGGTACTTCAGACCATAACACATTTTCCCACATGCTTTTGGGAGACTTCAGCTGGGCTTTAATGTTCTTCTTTGCCACCCTACCCCATAGCCCAAATGTATGAGGAATACGGGAGATTGTTGTCACATGTAGTTCACAGCTCCTTTAATGTTGCTGCAGGGAAGCCTCCCTGACCAGCTTTCTTTTCGTCTTTTCATCAATTCTGGAGGGGCGTCCAGTTCTTGGTAAGGTCACTGTTGTGCCATATTTCCTCCACTTGATGACTGTGTTCACTGTGCTCCATGGTTTATCTAATGCCTTGGAAATTCTTTTGTACTCTTCTCCTGACTGATACCTTTCAACAATGAGATCCCTCTGATGCTCTGGAAGCTCTCTGCGGACCATGGCTGTCAGGAAAGTCCTACCAGAACAGCTGAACTTTATTTGGGATTAATCAGAGTCACTTTAATGATGGCAGGTATGTACTGACTACTATTTAACATGAGTTTGATCTGCCTCATCCCCAGTTATAAGAGGGTGTGCACACTTATGCAACCAGCTTATTGTAAGTTTTTTATTTTTCCACCTAAAAGATTTCAGTTTGTCTTTCCATTGAATTGTTTAGATTAAAGGTGGAAACAGTTTGGACTTGATTTATCTTTGTCTCATTTTTTTACATCACAAAAACATTTTAACAGGGCTGTGTAGACTTTTTATATCCACTTAACTTTTATTCTACTCTTAACGCAACCATCTGCATCATGTATATTTATAAATAAAATTATAAACCTTTTATTGGTTAGCAGTTAATTAATGTTTATTAATGTATCTAAGTTGTATAATATAATATAATGAGTTGTGTTGGCGCTGTCGGGCCTCCTTACAGGAGCTGAGGGTGAGGGGAGGTCACCTGTGGGGCTGAGGGGAGGTCTGGGTAAGGGTCTGGGTGAGGGTCCGGTGCTGGTTCCTCCCCCAGGGTTCCTCTGACCGTCTGCAGCCTCCTCGTCAGGAGAAAACACCTCCATGTCCTCCAGAGGAGTCCACCGGGGGTCCTGCTGGGGGGACGACGGGGACGGCTCCAGGGTCAGAGAGGGAGTCGAGACCGGCTGTACCTGCTGGGCCCCGACCTCACCCCGTCCTCTTCCTCCCACTCCTCCTCCTCGTTCTCCTCCTCCTCTTCCTCCCTCCAGCTCTTTGATCTGCCAAACGTCGCTGCAGAACTTCTGACCAAAGACCTTGTCCAGGATCGGGACCCAGTCCTGAGACACCGAGAGGACAGGGGGACGCTCCGGGTCTGAGGGAGGAGGGAGGGAGAGATTATAAAGGAGAGGAAGGAGAGGAGGAGGAGGGGAAGGAGAGGAAGAAGGAGGGAGATTATAAAGGAGAGGAAGGAGAGGAGGAGGAGGGAGGGAGAGAGGAAGGAGAGGTAGGAGAGACAGAGGGAGGAAGAGATTATAAAGGAGAAGTAGGAGAGGAGGAGGAGGAGGGAGGAAGGAGAGTTAATGATTGACTGCAGTTGGTTTTACTCACTGTCTCTCGCCGCCGTCTGTTTGGACACGGGAACCTCGGCGAGCTCCTCCCGGGCGTCCTCAGAGCCGCTGGGTGACACAGAGTCGTTCTCCGACCCCCTCCTCCTCCCTCCAGCTCCTCCTCCTCCTCCTCCTCCTCCACCACCACTTCCTCCACTTCCTCCTCCTCCTCCTCTTGCCTTCTCTCCCCCTCCTCCCCCACCTCCTCCTGCTCTGTCGGAGAGCCTCTCCTCCAGTAGACGCTGCTCTCTCTCCATCTTGGTGATCTCCAGCAGGAGGTCGTCGAATGAGGCCTCCACGATCTTCGTCAGCTCGCGAACCGCAAAGTCCAGGACCTGCTCCATGACCGACTTCAGCTGGTCTGCAAGGAGGAAGAGCACCATCACCACCACCATCATCATCACCCTCACCCTTTACTCTAGTAAAGACGGGGCAAAAGTAAATGGCTAAAACGATACACGGTTAGAAAGGTAAGGTAAATCAACCGAAACCATTACAGGATCATTTATATTGGTGGTTAAAGGGAATTTCTATAGAATGTTAGCATGGAAATCGTTCGGGTCCCAGCACCGGCACGTTAATAACTTAATGAACATCCTCGAATCTACAAGGTCTAAATAAAGAACAAACTGTGGTAGATACAGTTTAATAAAGTTTATAAAGTCCGTCCTCACTCAGTAAAACAATGAGTCTGGTGATATTGTGGTTATTAGTTCAGTGGTCAGCTGATCTGTAACATTAACGACACAGTTTATTTTATTCCCCCCCCCCCCAGTGGGTTCGTTACCCTACAGATGGGACTCCCATACATCCTCCTCTTCCTCTAAAAAGAACTACGACGTTACATTAATGTTGAGAAACTACAAACATTAATCTGAGCGCACACAAACAAACAAACAGCCTCAGTAATCTGTTCAGTGTGTGTGTGTGTGTGTGTGTGTGTGTGTGTGTGTGTGTGTGTGTGTGTGTGTGGGCGCAGATGGCGACACTAACGTCCACATTACTCACAGATTAGAGGCTCACTGAGACGGATTAATAATCAGAAGCAAGAGAAACTCCACAATGTGACACCACAGTAACAAACAACAACAATAAACGACTCTACGTTATACTCTGTTTGCTCTCCACTCTTTAGTTAATGATTTCATATCGGTTATCAGCCGATCAATCAGAGTTCCCAACTTATTAACGAGTCATTTTCCAGGAGTTTCAATGACTGCTACCAGTATCAGTAACATCATCACTGTGTTTGTCAACCATCTGATCATTAATATATTAAACACTGTAAACAAACCAAAGAGCTAAAACAAACACTTCCAGGATATTTGGGTCATTTTAATCCATTTCAAGCTGTTTCAATGACTGGAAATCTAGTCTCTAAATTTCCAGGTTTTCCAGGAACCCTGATAAACATTCAATGACATCCTTGGACTTTACATTTGATCTATTTCCTGACTGTTCTGAGATCAGCTGATTGATTGTGTGTTCGTACAGTAGAATAATGTAACTGATCTACAGTCAGCCTCTCTGTGGGAACTTCTTTAAATAAACTTCACATGGACTACAAATCAGTCGGCCAGAGAACTACAACCGACGTGTTTCAGGGTCGTGACCCCGAAGCTTCACAAATATCTGTGGGTCATGTGATCCAGAGAGACGCCACAGAGTCTCGTTATCGGGTCCAGTTCAGACATCAGACACCTTCCAGTCTGCTGCTTCCTGCTGCTCTCCGATCACTGTTATTGATCAGAAGTGATACCGGGTCTACACCGATACTTTAAACCGCCACCGGTGACTTAACGGATACAGAAACTGACAGTTTACGACATTAAAGAACAGGTTTTCTTACTGCTAATAAACAGAAGGGATTCTGGGAAAACAACGGCGTCGTCGGCAGAAAGTATGTTCGAGGTTTTAATGGAGATTAAATGGACTTTGATATTTAATTAATTAATTAATCAAAAGACTAAAATGTAAAGATAAGTAATGTTGTGACAGCTGTGTTTATCAGAGTTCCCTCTCTTTTTCACAAATCATTTTCCAGGACATTTTCCAGGACCTTTCCAGGACATTTTCCAGGAGTTTTTCTTGACTATACAGGACAAACGCTCATATAAGCTTCAGTTTCAGACAAACTGACAGCAACAGTTCAAATCAAGAACATTAATCTTCTACAAAGTTAAAGTGTTCATTGTATGTACAGTTACTGGATGTCAAAGATTTCCACTTTACATCTGGTAATAAAGTTTATCCTCCACACAAACACAAAAACCTTAAGTTTACGTCGGTGATCTGAGGGACTAAAATACTAAAAGACATTTCCAGGATTATTTCAGGATATTTGGTCAACTTCCAGGTTTTCCAGGATGTGTGGGACCTCTGTTAATGTCCGACTGCTCTTTGTAGCTTCAAGTCTCAATAAAAGAGGGAGATGAGAAAACTGAGCCTTCATATCTCCACACATGTGCGGTGGCGGCGTGTTCACAGCTGTGGGAGAGAACAAACGTCCTCGCTGTGTCTCCTCCGACTCTCTGATCTCAGGACGTTAATCACAGATAAGAGCTGATCTGAGAGCAGATCACATTGGAGTTCCCCCTTTAATGAGCCTCATTATGAACTTAATGATGATTAACAACATCAGACGCTCGCTGCATTTCTGTCCATCGGCTGGAAGCCTGAAGACGTCTGACGATGGAGACGTGACGAAGAGGAGGACGACCTCCTCTGTGTGTGTGTGTGTGTGTGTGTGTGTGTGTGTGTGTGTGTGTGTGTGTACTATTTGATTACCGCGGCAACAAACAACAAATCCTCTCAAAATGGCTGTCGTTAGTTTCTGAGGATCAGAGGACCACAAAGAGACTTTAATCATCAGCACGCACACATCGTCCCGCCCGCCGCTCGTTACAGCACGGCGCCACCAACTGACAGCCTGGAGGATTACCGTAACACTTCTAGTAACAGTCCCAAATACAGGCAGGTCTCATTTACTAGCCGGGTCTGTGAGGATGAATAAAACCTGTTAAAGCCTGAGTGAGGGTTTAAGCTGCTTAGATCTCCTCCACAGATATTAATGTATAAAGTGTCAGTATGGACTCTGCACATCGGTCAATCCTTCATTTGACTGAAACTATCAACACCAAAGTATAATTCACTCATAAAGTCAGTGCGGTCTGTGTCCGTCCCTCCGTTATTTATATCCTTTAGTCCGTCAGGGTCCATTGATCAGAACAATCAAAGGCTTTCATTAACATGAATCCCAGTTGTGTTCTGTTGCTGTCTGTAAACCTGTGTTCACATTCAGAGCTCAAACTGAAGCTGTTCGTTGTTGATTTACTGAATGAAACTTGGAGACAGTTAACGACGTTAAAGAACAGGTTCTTATTGCTAATAAACAGGAGGGATTCTGGGAAAACAACGGCGCCGTCGGCAGAAAGTATGTCCGAGGTTTTAATGGAGATTAAATGGACTTTGTGACGTAGCTGACGGCGTCGGCGATGCTTTCAGGGAGCAGGTAAACTATCCAACTACAGCCCGACTGATGGAGGAGTATCCAGTAACGTCACTAACCAGCAGCCATTCTGATCATTTAATAAATGATTAACTGTTTAATGAAGATAAACACCAACCAGTCTACTCTCAGTTTGAACTGTCGGTGAAACAACAGACTTTATTTATATAAATTCATTTTACCTCAATAACTTCCACTGATGAGACTTCCTGTGTGCGGAGGATGAATCAGAAGAATACTGTGGCAGGGAAAGGTAATTCATTCATTAAAAATCGTAAACCGGTTTATGTTTAGGGTTTGATTAATGTTGTTAGACTGCAGTGGGGGGGCGGGGGGGCGGTCTAAGATCTCTACGGGGGTTCATTTAATAACTTACACAAACAGAAGCACTCCTCCTCCTCCTCTCAATCCTTTGTCTCTCTCCACAGCGAGCAGACATCGCAGTCAAAGCATAGCCTAGTTTCAGTGTAAAGACCCCCCCATGAGCAGGCTGACCTTTGACCTGAGCGTGTCGAGGCCACGGCCTCATTATCTCGCTGTCTGCATCACTGCGCCATTGTTCCTTCGCAGTCTGCAGCTCCTGCAAACGGACCGACCTCGTTACTGTAACCAACACATATTTAACACTGCAGTCTTTAGCTGAAGCTAGTTAGCAGGAAGATACACCCCCCCCCCAATAACCTGTCTGTCTGGCAGTAAATCTGAAGTACTGCTCCTCTCACTGCGAGCCCCGACAGTAAATCATTTCAATCATAGAAGAGTGACAGACAGTTTAAACCTCTATCAGTGGTTTACAGGCTGCTGATGGTTTTACTGCGCAGTGTTTGTTTTATTCTCTTCTTTATTCTAAAGCAGTGGTTCCCAACATGGGGGTCACCAGAGCTTCATGGGGGGGGGGGGGTCTTCATCTTGAGGGATGTAAGTAAAGTTATAAAATAAACACGTCTTCTGATATCTCAGCATTCAGTTTATCTCTGTGGATTAAAACCAGGTGCAATAAAGAAATCTTAGACAGTAATAGTGGTCGATGGCTGATACATTACGCTGATAACAAAGTCCTCTATCATTCTGTTATATTATACGGGGAATTCAGGTTAATGTTTACAGCAGGAAGCACTACAGTGATCATACAGGACTAACAGCTGACATCCACGGCCGCCTGCAGTCTGAATGAGTCTGAAGTCTGAGTCCGAGCACAGTCAACTTGGCTTGATTTGATTCTGACAGCACCAATATCTGGGATGGATTAACTACAGACAGTGCGCAGTGAGACAGTGCGCAGTGAGACAGTGCGCAGTGAGACAGTGCGCATTGTCAGCCACATTTATAAACTTAATTTAAAAGGATTTCTGAGGGATGAATTGTGTCTCTTTATATATTTATACATTCTGTGTTTCCCTCCTTTCACCGGTCGGTCTGAACGACACCGTGTGCTGGTGTTCGAGGATTCTCCGCGGTGGACGGACTCACCGACGAGCAGGTACCAGTTAGCCACAATGTTAGTTAACAATGAGCACGCAGGGGAACGTTAGAACAGCAGCTGTCTGCTTACTGACCCGCTGGGGAGTTTTACTCAGTGGCATGTTCGTTAGATCCACACTGAAGACTTTAATAATCAATGTATTTATTCTGATCAGTGATCTTCATAGAGTCTGTCTGTCTGTCTGTCCATCTCTCTCCTCTGTCTGTCTCTCTCCTCTGTCTCTCTCTCTCCTCTGTCTGTCTGTCTGTCTCTCTCTCCCTCTGTCTCTCTCCTCTGTCTGTCTGTCTGTCTCCTCTGTCTGTCTCTCTCCTCTGTCTCTCTCCTCTGTCTGTCTCTCTCCTCTGTCTGTCTGTCTGTCTGTCTCTCTCCT